TTCCCTTTGGGGTTGCTGTAGGTGATCTGGAAGTCTGTTTTTGAGGCTTGTTTATGTGTCTTCTCATTTCCGGAGGGGTGTGTGTGTGTGCTTCTGGCAGCCATGTGGCTCACCTTCTCTGCCCTAGGAGCTTGGGATGGCAGCGGCGAAGCTTCCTTCTGGGTGCTGGGACTTGCTCACCTTCTTGGCCCTAGGAGCCTGGGATGTCAGTGGGGGAGCTTCCTTCCTGGTGCTGGGACCAGCTGAGCTTCTCTGCCCAAGTTAGCATTTTTTTGCCCTTTGGCAAAGATTAAATAGAGAAGTAATCAGATAAGGTCATGAGGAAAGTGAACCTTATACCTATTCCAGGAATTCTCTCCTTGGAGGTATACAATGTGCTATGATATGGAAAATACTTCAGTTTTAAAATATACATTGGCTTAGGTATAGCAATTCCACTTAAACACACTCTATATAATAGCACAAGATTGGGTATCACTGAGCTGTCAGTCAATAAGGGACTTGTTACATTGGTACAGCCATTCAGATGAATGGTGTGCAGGCTTTAAGAAGGAAATCTGGAACGCGGCTGTAGTGGCGCCCACCTGGGAGACTGAGGCAGGAGCATGGCAAGTTTGGGCCCAGCCTACGTAGCTTAGTGACTTAATGGGACCCTGTCTCAAAATAAAAAATAGAAAGGTCAGGAGAAATAGTTCATTGTGAAAGTCCTGGGCTCAATCCTCAGTATTAATTCAAAAAACCAAAAGAGAGAGCTAGATTTTTTTCACTGACATAGATATCTGTGATATACTGTTATGCGGAGGAAAAGTAACATCCAAAATAATTCAGCTTTTATTTAAAAGTGTGTGTGTGCGCGCTCATGTGCGCGCATGTATATCTGGAAATATATGCCTTACAGTGGTCATTTTAATAACCATCATGTATTATGAGAAAGAAAAAGTTATTTCCATTAGGCAGCATTTGTTTTAAAAGAGTATCCCAGAATCTTTGTCTCATCATGAGTTAAACATTTACAGTAAGGCATGAAAGATAACGCCCTCATTCATCATCCCTTTTTTTCCTCATTTTCAAAGAGAACTTTTCAGATGAGTTGAATTAATGTTTCCCATGGGGCTTCTGAAACCTAAGTTTCAGAAGGCAGAGTTCTAGCTCTGAGTCAGTTGCAGCGTGGGAGTGTCTGAAGGGCTGAGAAAGGAACACTTCTGTGTTCTTCTTTTAGTCCTTTTGCCAAAAGGAATAAAGAGCTGATTGTCTTTTTGCTCCCTTCATAGCAAAGGCCTCTCTCTGTCTCCTACACCTAGAGGGATTCCAGATGCCTCAGAACAGATGTCTTCTTTGCTTAGCTCTTCTGTCTTTCCCCTAGCTGGCCACAGAAAATCATTTACCAGGCCTACTTATTGCACTTTTTCTACTTCCTCCTCCAACCCCCTTCGTCTGTGCTCACAACTGAAGCACCATTGGTGGTGGAGTGGAAATATGCCAGTGGACAGAATTTTCCCTGGTGAGCTCATCTGTATTTTTCCTATTGAAGTGTTTACCAAGAATCTGTGCAGTCAAATGTCCGCAGTCAGTGGGCCTCTCCTGCAGTGGTTGGAAGACAGACTGGAGCAAAACCAACAGCATTTGCAGGACTTACAACAGGAAAAAGAAGAGCTTCTGCAAGAACTCTCTTCCCTAGACTGAAGCAGCTGACAAAATGGGGTATTTTTAAAATTTGTATACTAAACATAGTTTAAAACTGCACACAGCTCTGGTATAGGCAGACAGTAGGCCAGTACTTTTTATATTCCTTTATATATGCAATAAACACAAGATGCTTTTCCTAAACATTGCACAAGAGTTTACTGAATCCTTCTACTGTACCTATAACTGGTCTACAAAGAGTATATACCAGATGATTTAAGTAATATATGAAATTTATTTTTTGAGGGTACATTGACAAAAGATATCTTGTAATTAAATGTCTCTGATGTATACTCTAAATGTTATTTTTCCCTTCTTAAACTTACAAGTCTTTATTTCCATTTTCAGTTATATCTATCCCTACATTAAGCTAAAGAGAGAATATTTTATGTTTCTACTTGTAGTTATTATGCTTATGTTAGACGAGTACATAATAAGTACATAAGAGTTAGTATAAGGGAGTGTAGGGATATCCCTCCCACCTCTATTCTTTGTCCGTATTGGGAGGCATGTGTCTCATGGCTTCCTTCTTGATCTCTACAGTATGTATTCTGAGACACTTAACAACCTTAAATCTCTGTTGGTGCCCCTTTTAACCAACCCGATGAATTCTAACATATTTGACTGTGAAGCAAATTCCTATTGAGGAGATCCCATTTACCTAGGAAATTCCATTATAATATAAATGTATTTTCTAAAACATTTAGGTTTTAGAATATAATAAAAATCATGCTTTTAAAAGTCCAGTTACATTATTCCTAGCATGTATAGTCAGAAATGACAAATGTGTGTCTTTAGAAAAGATTCAGGCCTATTTATTGCATACTGAAAAAACAGTGAAAATTGGAAGAGGTCAAAAGAAAGAAAACAATATCAATCACAACAGTAAAAAGGGCGGTTTGGGTTTTTTCTTTGGTTTCTGACCAAAATAATGTTTTTCAGACTCTGAAACCACTTGCTTCAGAATCACTCGGGGGTAGGGGTTGTAATCCAGAAATCTGCATGAACTATGAGCTGATTCTGAGGCACACTTACCATTTGAAAACTGCTCCAGGGCATACAGAATGTAAATACTGTGTTTTTCCTAATTCCCACTGCCACAGTTCTTCTCTCTTCTTTTCTTTTCCCTTATAGGACAGATGAAAATACCCTGCATATAATAAGATAAACCAATTTTGATGAAAGAAAAATTAAGAGGATTCACATTACCTGACTTCACGACTTTTACTATAAAGCTGCAGTAATCCAGACGGTATGGTATTGGCAGAGGGAAACACACAGATCGATGGAACAGAAGACAGAACCCAGAAATAGGTTCAGATAAATATCCCCAACTAATTTTGGCAAAATTCAAAAGCAGTTTAATGCAGAAAAGATACACTTTTCAACAAATCATGCTGAAGCAATCAAATGTCCATAGGCAAAAAATAAAGCAAAACTCAACTAAACCTCACACATGCTATAAAACTTACCTCAAAATATATCATGGATTTAAATGTAAGATGTAAAACTATACAACTTTAGGGAAAAAGACATTGCAGAAAATCTTTAGGAGATAAGTTATTGGACTTCAAAAGTATGATCTGTAAGAAAAAAGTTGATATGTTTGACTTCTTCAAAATTTTAAAAATTGCTTTGTAAAAAAAATCTCAGAAGAGGAAAAGACAAGCTACAGATTGAAATTATTTGCAAACCATAGAGTACCTGATCAATGTGGAAAAACACAGTAAAATCAACTCAACAATAAAAAATAATCCAATTAGAAAATGAGCAAAAGATATGAATGAACATTTCACCAAAGAGGATATATGAATGGCAGGTAATCACTTGAAAAGATAATAAACTTTATAAATCATCAGGGATTGCAAATTAAAACCACAATGAAGTATGACTTATCAGAGTGGCTAATGGGAAAATAGTGAAAATGCTAAATGCTATTGAGGACACAAACTAGATTTCTCATATGTTGGTGATAAGAATATAAAATGGTATAGCCAGTCTAGAAAAGAATTGAGAAATTTCTTCTAAAATTAAACATACTATAATTCAGAAAATGCACTTCTGGACGTTTATCCCAGAGAAATGAAAACCTTTGTTAGCATAGTAACTTGTACAAAAATTTTCATAGCAGCTTTATTCAAAAACTGGAAATAATGCAGATGTCCTGCAATGAATAACTGGTTACACAGATCATCTATACCTTAAAATGCTACCCTGCATTGGAAAGGAACAGACTATATTAATACACACAACTTAGATGGACCTCAGGGGTATTGATGAATTTAAAAAACAATATCAGAGGGTCATATTGTATGACTACATTTATACAACAGTCTTGAAATGTCAAAATTATAGAAATGAAGAACTGATTCATGATTGCCAGGGATGGGGACTGGATGGGACATGGCTTCTGTGTGACTCTACAGGCGTGACACACGGAGTTTCTTTGTGCTGATGGAGCAGTTTTGTATCTTAATTGTGGTGCTGAGCACATGAATTCATACTTATGCTAAAACTGTATGATCTGTACACACAAATGCATGCATGTAAAATCTAGTGAAACTGAATAAAGTCTGTAGTCTGCTAAACAGTATTCTACCATTGTCTCTGTGTTGGCTTTAAAGTTGTACTACCTTGTGGAAAACCTTATCACTGGAGGAAACTGGGCGAGGATACATGGGACTCTATTAATTTTGCAAATTCTTGAAAGTCTATAATTCTGGTAGAATAAGTATGTATAAGTTTTAAGTAAAGAACTAGAGAGTATGATACCATTTTATAGAATAAGAAAAAGATGATTAAAAGAAAGTCTGAGGGAATAAAATGATTTGAATATTTTTACAGGCCACTCTTGAGCACAAGTCCCTTTCTCTTTCTATGCTCCATTGTCTTTGTGTATAAAATGATATAACTTTTACCTTAGTGTTCAGCCTTTTAAAAATGTTGATCATTATAAGGAATGGTAATGTGAACAAGGTGTATTGTTACTCTTGCTCCTTCATCAATTTGGCTTGCCTTTATACAAAATATTGCATTCCAACCCACACCTCTTTATCTCTTTATGGACACTAGGTTCTACATTTTAAATCACAGCCAAGACTGATGAGAATGATTTATATTTGTTCTCTCCTTCAGTACCTCTATCTGAACTCCAAACCTACATTTCTACCTGTTAGATAATTCCACTTGGCTATCTTAATGGCACCTTAAACTTAATACACTGAAATCTAAACTCATGGTTTTCAATCTAAACTATATTCCCACCAATGGTTTTACCTCAGTGAATAGAGAGTACCTATTTACATAAACCAGAAGCTGAATAGGTATCCTTAATATCTCTATCACCCTGAAAACTATTTACATTTATAGTTATAACAATTTGAACTTTGTTCTTACCTAGTAATCTGAGTTATAATTTGTAGAATAGGCATATGGGAGGCAGGGAGCATACATGGAGTGTCAAAGTACTTGCTGGCTGGGCATTAGAGTTCTCAGTCTTCTGGGAATGGGACAGGAAGAGGACTTGGGGAAACTGTCTTGTGTCAGTGCCCTCAAGTGAGAAGGGAGACAGCAATCTGTTACATTAAGTAAATTGATTGAGCAATTAAATCAGTATGTTAAAGAATCAGGAGATAGGTTTTTCAGTGTCAGACATTATTTACAAATGTAAAAAAGGAAGGATAAAATGAACCCCATGGTGTTGGATTGAAATTGAAAATTTTAATATGAACTCTTTCAAAGGAGAAAAGTTATCAAGAGAGTCTGTATGTGTGTGTGTGTGTGTGTGTGTATCCAGAGAGATGAATGTGTCATTGTATATGTACATACAGTTCCTTGCTCTGTCCACTAAAGATTAGAAGCAAAACCCCAAGAGCTCTTAAAACACCCAGCACCAAGATAATGGTTTTCAAACACTATTCTCCACTAAAAGCGTAATATGTTTGGGAGCCCAAAAATAAACCCATATATAATCAACTGACTGAGACTATTGAATGAAGGAAGAATGTTCTTGTCAATAACTGCTGATTGGATAATTGAGTATCTATATACAAAAGAACAAAATTGGACCCTCACCTCCCACTATATATGAGTAGTAATTCAAAATGTATCAAAGACTTAAATGTTAGAACTTAAAACTACAAAAACTTTAGAAGAAAAGATGAGAGTAAATCTTTGTGATCTTGGTTTTGGCAGTGGATTCTTAGATATGACACTACAAGTATAAGCAACAAAGAAAAAAGGTAAAATAGACTTCATGAAAGTTAAAAGGTTTTGTGTACAAAAAATGATCAAAAAAGTAAAAACTGAAAATGAAAGAAAATGTTTTCAAATCATATATCTAAGAGTCTAGTATCCAGATTATATAAAGAATACTGAAAAGAGCAAAAACCAAGTAAAATTTAAAATTAGACAAAGTAAGTAGACATTTCTATGGGAGGTATACAGTTTATCAAGTAGCGCATGAAAATTTGCTGAACATCATTTGTCATCAGAGAAATGCAAATCCAAACCTTGAGATACCATTTCACAACTATAATAAAAACGTAAGTCCAGCATGGTGGTGCATACTTCCAATCCCAGATATTTAGGACTCTGAGGCAGGAGGATCTCTTGAGCTCAGTGGTTTGAGACCAGCTCTGGCGACATAGCAAGCCTGATTGTTTAAGATAATAAGTGGTGGTGGGCATGTGGAGAAGTTGAAACTCTTGTAAATTGTTAGTGGGAACATCAGGTGGTGCTGTTAGTTTGAAAAATACTCTGGTGCTGCCTACTAAAATTAAACATAGAATTACTATAGGATGCAGCAGTTGCATTCATGGGAGTAGAGACCACAAAACTGAAAGCAGAATTCAGATAAAAACTTGTACATGATGCCAAAAGGTGGGAAATAACCCATGTGACCATCAACTGATAAGTGGATAACACAATGTGGCATACCTATGCAATGCAATATTATTCAGGCATAAGTAAGAATGAAGTACTGATGCATGCTACAACATGAATGAGTCTTGAGAACATTATGCTAGTCAAAAAAGCCAGACACAAAATGCCACATAATGTATGATTCTATTTATGGGAAATGTCCAGAATAGGCAAATCCATAGAGACAAACAGCGGATCAGCAGTTGTCAGGGCTTAGGAGGGAATATAAAGGGATGATGGCTAAAACATAAAGGATTTCTTTTAAAATTTATCATGGTGATGTAACTATTCTAAAAAACCATTGAATTTTTCACTTTAAATGGATGAATTGTGTTGTATGTAAAATAATGTATCAAAGCTTTTCTTAAAAAAGACTGAAAGAGAAACTTCCTTGAAACTGTAGCCAACCCTGCAGGCTGACCCCTTCCACTTTGCCCAGTAATTCTCTTTGCTCCTTGCCAAGAAGATAAGATGGGCTTCTGGTCTGCTGGTAGCTGCTGTTGTACTGTATGTTAAGTGAGAGAAATTTATGAGAACCTAAGTTCAATCCCTAAAACCATAAATAAAGTAAAAGAAAACATGACCCAACTCCTTAAAGAATTTGGACAAAACTTGCAGTGAAGATTTAAAAATTTTAATTAACACCATGAGTGACGCTTAGGATAATTAATTGTATGTATTGTAAGAAAGTGTAGCTTGTGTTGAAAAGTGCAGGCAACAGGTACCATTGAAAGGTGGCAAGGGCTCAAAGTAAAACCTGGAAAAAGACAATTGGACAGCCAATTTCAGTGCAGCATACTCTTACAACAGGCAGTTTGGGCTGTAAATGTGGCCATTCTGCAGAAGGATACCTCTTATCAAGGTGGAATATTTAATTATGAAGTGGAGAAGGAGGAGGAATCTTAGACTTGCTGTAAGAGATCTAAACTACATATTTAACACATCTGTACCTTTGTCCCTCCCTGCCTTCCTGGGATCCTGGGCTGCTGTAATTTGAGAGTAGGGCTGGGTATTTTACCTATTTCCCTCATTGCTGGGACATACCTGACATCTACAATTTAAAGAAGAAGTGATTTACTTTGGCTCATGTTTCAGTTCGTGGTTGGCAGGCTCTAAAGAAGAAACATAGCAGAAAGGCATGGCAGAGGAGAGCTGCTCACAGAATGGCATTGAGGAAGCAGAGAGCCAAGGGAGGAGCCAGGAAGAGAGATAACCCTTTCAGGTCACATCCACTGTGACCTGCCTCTTCTGACAAGAACCCACCTTCTAACAAGTCAGTTAAACCATCCCCGTGATTCAATCACCTTTCAGAAGTCCTACCTTTGAGCACATGAAGCTTTGGGGGCACATCTAGATAGAAATCATAACATTCTGCCCCTGCTCCCAAAAGACTCATGTGCATCCCTTTATGCAAAATATATTTAGTCCACCTCTAAGAGTTTCCAGAGTCCTAAAAGTTCCACCATTGCTGAAAAGTCCAAGTCCAAAGTCTCCTCTGAGACTCACAGCAAACTCTTAGCTGTGAGCCCTGTAAAAATAAAAAAGTTAAACACTGCCAACATAAAATGGCACAGGGTAAACATTCCAACTCCAAAAGGGAGAAATTGGGGAATAGGAATGAATGGGACCAAAACAAGATCAAAAGCCATGAGGGCAGACGTTAAATTAGCTCCATGTTCAGCATCTGGGGAAAGTTGTGATAAGATGTGAACTCCAAAGAGCTTGGACAACCCTGCCTCTGTGGCATTGTCCTGTAGCCCTCAGGACCTCTCTCTTGAGCTGTCTTCACTCCTCACTCCTTGCAGCTCTCCTTAGATGTGGCTTCTCTAACTTTCTAACTTTTTTGCACTTTTGACTTTATTCACAGCTTCACACGCTGCCTTCTCAGGGGCACACTGCCTGGACTCCCAGGCCTTCTGAAATCTGCATGGAAGTCTTGACCTCACAATTCTTACATTCTGCATGCGTGTAAAACCAACACCACATGGATAATGCCAAGGTCTGCTACCAGTTTGAGCAGTAGCCAGACCCAATTATGGCTCTGAATGCCACAGCTGAGCACTGTAAACTGAATCTCAGGGAATAAATTCCCTAGGTGGCCATTCTTGAGCACAGTGCCCTGGGGCTCTCATCTCAAAGCAGTCTTTAACTTTTGGAGTTTTGTGCCTGTGAAAATTGGGACCTTGCTACTTTCTGTGGTGCCACCGAGCCATCTTTCCTATTGTCGTGATCCAAAGTACTTGGCTTCTCTTTGAGTCTAATCTTTTCAGCAACCAACTTAGCAGGCCCCAACTCTACCTTTCCTGACAAACTCAAAACTTTTAAAGTCAGTCAGCTGTACTGTGTTGCTCTTGATTGCTCTTGAAATGTAGAGCTGACTAAAAGCCCCCAGTGTACTCATGCCACAGCCTGGATGTTGGGATGCCTTGAAATTTCCTTGGCCAGATTAAGTAGTCCACTGCCCTTACTCTCCATCTCCTGCAAAGTCTCAGGACATGAGAAAATGTAGACTGATTTCCAGAGTCCTATGCAAATTTTGTGTTTCCATTTTTATTTATTTCTAAATATTAAAAAGTCAAGATTCTTATATCAGTTATCTCAAATGAGACCATGCAATGTGATTCATTGTGTACAACAAACATTTCTCCCCTTCAGTCTTTCTGCTTTATA